TCCACCATCAATGACATAAGAGGTTGAGGGAGTACACATAAGTGTAGTTGTGATTGCTTTTTTTTACTTAATGTTAGCTGGGAACCCTCTCCCTGAATATTTAATTAGCAGCCACCATGGCCTAGCAGTCTAAGTGCTAGATTAGGACCCTGGGAGATTAAGCTCCAAATCCCCAATCACCCACAGAAGCCCACTGGGTGACCAATCACAGTTTCTCATCATTAGAGGAAAACAATGGCAAACCTCTCTGAATGTATATTGGCAAGAAAACTAGGATAGGATTGCCATATGAAAGTACATAATAAAAGAAATAAAATCTTGAATCCAAGCTATTTTAAAATATTCTTTATAGTGTTTTACATGTGCATAGAATTTGCTTTTTTTCACACTCAGCTGACATTCAGCTACTATTCCAGCATGTCTTTCCTGGTTAGGCATTGCCAGTTTTGTTCCCATCATAAATGCTTTATTTGTTTACTCCAGTGTGCATAACCCCAGCATTACATACACTATGTTTTCCATGTTGTTACACATTCTATTACTTCAGAGGACATTTGACATTGATTTTCGCTGTTTCATTGTTACAGATATGCAGGGTAGGTCATACCATCATCATCATTATCATAGCCAAACCTTCGTGTCCAAGTATGATTGTCTTTCAATGGTAGAGTCTTGGCAGTGGGTCCATAAGTGACTATAGAGATCTATTCTGGATCAACATGGTCTTTCGCAATGAAAACATTACAATGAAAAATATACAAGTATACCTAAGAAAACTTCTAGTCAGAATTATTACGAATCTATTGCAATACAAATATATTCATTTATTTTTTTTAAAAGGCTTAGATCAGTGGTTCTCAACCTGGGGTCCCCAGATGTTTTTGGCCTTCAACTCCCAGAAACCCTAACAGCTGGTAAACTGGCTGGGATTTCCAGGAGTTGTAGGCCAAAAACATCTGGGGACCCCAGGTTGAGAACCACTGGCTTAGATGATATGTATTACTGGAAAATTCTCTCAAATGAGCAGAAAATCTCTCTGACCACCCCTACATTGTTGACAAGTATCATATGTCAAGTTGCAAATCAAATCCATCAAGAGTTAACATATAGTTGATCTCCCTTACCGTCATACATTTCTTCTTGAGTTTAAGCATCCTATTTGCAAGAGTTTCATCAAAGTTACATTCCTCTGCCTAGTAACATATCATCTGCCTGCTACACATGCCCAGCATGTTAATAGATCATAAATGAGCCTAGTGCACATTGTGTATGTTTAGAAATACAGTGTACATCTAAAGAATTGCGCTGGTATTTGTGATAGTTGACCATTTCATTAAAAAGATATATACAAAATGGCTTTTGAAATTAGAGACAGAAGATAAACATGCGAAAGAGTACCTGATAAGTTTAAGCATAATGTTCATCCAATATATTGAGGGAAATAGCCAAGAGAGATATATATAGTAGACAATTTACTTTGTGTAGTAATGTAATAGCAAAGTAGTATGAGATAATGTATATATGGTATCTAAGTCCAAATGAGCTATCTAAAATGTCCCAGAATATTTCAGAGCAATGCTGGGGATGTCCGCAATAGAAAATGAAAATGTACTAGATTATATATTAATACAAATAAAATGTAATAATATATTTTGTAAATTTATCAGAATTGTTTTTGCTGAGAATTATGAATAAAGAAATTGACAGTAAATTTCTCCCACCCTGGACATTCCACAGATATATGTATTTACACTGCGCTTGCCTGACTTCCAACAGACTTCTGAAGATGCCAACCCCCGGTGCAGGCGAAACGTCAGGAGAGAATGCTACTGAAACAAGGCCTTACAGCCTGAGAAACTCACAGCAACCCAGTGATTCTGGCCATAAAAGCCTTCAAGAACACAAAAGTATAACTGTTTTACACACTTAACATTATTATCCTAATGTGCGGTCTGGCACTGGTCTTTTTTTTTTTTTCATATTCCACGTAATCATATGTTGGCATTCTAAAAAGAAGACTTCCTAAAGGTTGGTAAGAGAAGGCATCTCTTTTCAGAAACCACCCCGATTCTTCCCCACCAGTGCTGTCCTTCATATATTTCTTAATTCAGTTCCAGTCCTAATAATATCTTCCAACAATTTATCAAGGACCAAAATTAGTCTGTAATTCCCGGCTTACCCACTCTTAACCATTTATTTTTAAAAACTGTTGTTCGGTACAGAGGCTTAGTGACAAACTATTTTGTTATGCTGAGATTCAAGGGGAACCTACTGTTGCATTATGATCACTAAGGCAAAGAGTTGATACTAAATGGAAGGGAGAGGAAGAATACAGCACAAGGAGAAAAAACATATTTTGACCTTGAAATTAAGGAGCATCCACATTCACAGACAATATGCTATATGGGAAGCATGGAGTTGTGCGATGTAAATTGCATGTGGAGTTACTCATCCATTTTGCTATGCAATGTGTGCACTGAATGGCAATAAAATGAGCAGCGCAAGGAGAAATCAAATTGTGCAACTGCCTGAGCATTAAAAAAAATGCTACCATAATGTTGAGCTGGGGAAAATGGATACACACACTGAATTTTGCATGAGAACTGGTATGTAATAATTTCACTTACAAACATTCTGGTAGAGCCCTATAGAATGATATTACAATAGCAGACAGAAATAGAAAGAAAAGTGACCTGTTTCTCCTTTTGATTAGCAAAAGTCAGAAACACAGGGTGCCTGTTGGAATTCAACTCCACTCTGCTCAAGTCTCAAGTCCTGAATGAGGAACAAGTTACATAGTTAGGTTAGAATAGGCTGAGGGTTTCCCTTCCCCTATGTATCCTGTATGAAAGGAGATTCCACCTGAACATGAGGAAGAACTTCCTAACTGTGAGAGCTGTTCAGCAGTGGAACTCTCTGCCTGGAGTGCAGTGGAGGCTTTGGAGGGTTTTAAACAGAGGCTGAGACGCCATCTGTCAAGGGTGCTTTGAATGTGATTTTCCTGCTTCTTGGCAGGGAGTTGGACTGGTTGACCCACAAAGTCTCTTCCAACTATGATTTTATGATTCTATGACAGTTGAAATGTATTTATTTCTTGTCTCATCTCCCTTTCTACTGCAAGCCTTTACTTCTGACTTCAGCTTTTCCATCTTTGATTGTGTTATGTGCTTTGAGATCTGTGTGTGTGTGTGTGTGTGTGTGTGTGTCAGAGAGATGTAGTGGTTGGAGTTTTTACCTTCTCATGAAAACTTAGAAAGGAAGGGTTATAGAGTAGCTCAGACCCAGTTATTAACTATGAAGAAATGCAGTTATTTCTTATCATTGTAAATAATCCTTTTGTGGGACCTTTCTGTGACTTTGGGCCCAGCCTCAACTTTTCTATTGAGGAGGAAATGCTTTGATATGATTTACTCAGTTTAAAAATTCCACCTGGAATTACATTTCCTTGAGCTTTTGAAAGGGTCATCCCTGTGCAGCCAGGCACTACTCACAGAACTCACTTCAAGGGCCTCCTGTCATTTCGTGACACTTCTTTACTATGGAAAGCTCTAAGGATGGACAACAGTTCACCAGAACTCAAGCAACCAGCAAAAAAATCAAAATCAAAGACATACCAGCAATAATTGAAATAAAAGTTAAAATCAGATTTTAGCAAAAATGTTACATTAAGCTTGTCTTTATTTAACCACCATATTTTAATATTAATCTCAAGTCCATACAGAATTTTTACAGTATGGTATAGTATATTAGTTCTATTTCCCCCCATTCTTAATTTTTATTTTGCATATTTATCAAAAAGAGCAATAATATTCTATAAACATGTATATACACATGAACCAATGCAATATTTCATAACATCTATACAATGACTGTTCTTGACTATGCCATTCCTTCCTCCCATCCATCCCATTGTGGTGACTTCCCGCACTTGTCTTCTCCAAGCTTTCCTTTCTTCTCGTGATGTGGCCAAAGTACTTCATCTTGGCCTCTACTGTCCTTCCCTCCAATGAGCAGTCGGGCTTTATTTCCTGAAGTATGGACTGGTTGGATCTTCTTGCAGTCCAAGGCACTCTCAGAACTTTCCTCCAGCATCACAGTTCAAAAGCATCTATCGTCCTCCACTCAGCTTTCCCTATGGTCCAGCTCTCACATCCGTAGGTGACTACAGGGAATACCATGGCTTTGACCAGGCGGATCTTCGTTGCCAGTGTGATGTCTCTACTCTTCACTATTTTATTGAGATTGGTCATTACTCTCCTCCCAAGAAGTAAATGACTTCTGATTTCCTGGCTGCAGTCTGCGTCTGCAGTAATCTTTGTGTCTAAAGTCTGCCACTACCTCCACATTTTCTCCCTGTATTTGCCAGGTATCAATCAGTCTGGTTGCCATAATCTTGGTTTTTTTTAAAAAAAATGTTTAACTGAAACCCAGCTTTTGCACTTTCTTCTTTCACCTTAATTAGAAGGCTCCTCAACTGCTTCTTGCTTTCAGCAATTAAAGTGGTATCATCTGCATATCTAAGGTTGTTAATGTTTCTTCCAGCAATTTTAACTCCATTCTTGGAGTCGTCAGTCTCCACACATGGCATGATACAAGTTGCATACAAGTTGAATAGGTTGGGTATTTGCCTTGATATTCTGGGTTATATGGCTGTGTGGAAGGAGCCTGAATCTACACTACTTTGTTTGGTGGTGGTGGTGGTGGGGGGGGGGATTGCAAAAAACCCCACAAAAATCCCAGAATTATAAACTGTTAAGAGTATATGGATTTGGGGAGGAAGTTGTAACCTAGTTATCTTTGGACCACACCACCCAGGCCCTGCCCAGCACAGGGCTGACTTGGGACTGTTGGGAGCTGCAGTGCCCTAAAGGGTCCTCCCCTGGCCCCCTCCGCACCTGCCCAGGGACCAGGTGCTTCCGCCCCGCCCCCTGCCCGCGGGCAGCCAATCGCCTCCCTCCCTCCCCGACTCAGCCCGCCTTGGCCCCGCCCCCTCCAGCCGCGCCTCTCGCCAAACTTCGGAGGGTCGCAGAGCGTAGGGAGAGAGAGGCGCGAGCCCCTGGCTCTACAGCTTCCTTCACCCGGAGATGCGCCCGAGGAGTGCCGGAAACACCCGAAGGCGGCCAGGTAAGTCGGGGCGAAGCGGGGATTGAGAGAGAGAGAGAGAGAGAGAGAGGAGGGCGCTCCGGGAGCAGCGTGGTCGCCCTACTCTTCCAAACTCCACAACACCCAGTTTGATCAAGCCAGGGACCCCCCTGTGAGTCCATGCCTTTCTCCCCCTTTCTTGTCACCTCCCTCCTGCCCTCTCGCTTGCCCGTCCCTGGCCCCACCTGCCTTGGCCGTGGCGTGCAGCTCGAGGCGAGCCTCACACTCCCCGGAAAGGGCGCACAGGAAAGCCCTGCACGCGCACCGGGGCTCCCCGCTCAGTGTCATCAGCATCCGGGCGCCAAAAGGGATCTAGGCTTGCCCATGGGACCGCTTGCGCTTTCTTTAATCCCTGGTTTGAAACTGCACTAAGTAGTCAGCCTGGATGCATGGGGGCTAAGATCGGAAGGAAAGGGACGCCAAGTACAGCCTGTAGTTTCTCAACCTTCCTAACGCCGCAACCCCTTAATACAGTTTCTTATGTTGTGACCCCCAACCATAACATTATTTTTGTTGCTACTTCATAACTAATTTTGCTACTTTTATGAATCGTAATGTAAATGTCGGGTGTATTTTCATTCACTTGACCACTTTTGGCACAAATACCCAATACACCCAAATTTGAATACTGCTGGGGTTGGGAGGGATTGATTTTGTCATTTGGGAGTTGTAGTTGCTGGGATTTATAGGTCACCTACAATCAAAGACAATTCTGAACACCACCAACGATGGAATTGAACCAGAATTGGAACACAGAACTCCCATGACCAACACAAAATACTGGAAGGGTTTGGTGGGCATTGACCTTGAGTTTGGGAGTTGTAGTTCACCTACCTCCAGAGAGCACTGTGGACTCAAACAAATATAAACACTGGTGGAGTTTGGGGAAAATAGACCTTGACATTTGGGAGTTGTAGTTGCTGGGATTTATGGTTCACCTACAATCAAAGAGCCCCTTGAATCCCACCAACAATAGAATTGGGCTAAACTTCCCACACAGAAATTTGGTCATAACCACCAGAAAATATTGTGTTATCTGATGGTCTTTGGTGACCCCTCTGACACCTCCTCATGACCCCCAAGTTGAGAAACACTGCTATAGTTAGGACATTTCCAACTGATTTCCCCGCAGTGCATTGGGTTCAAGAGTGAGTGACTGAGAGGAAGTCCAACTGTAGAACCCAACTGGGTCTTCCTTTCCTTCTGCCCTTCTCTCCCAGTTCTAATTGAGCGAAAAGCCCCTTTGGCCTGGAACTGGCCTTCCCAGCAGACAGGATCACATAGCTGTTATTATGGGGGTTGCTGGGGCTGAGAGGGTTGACTTGCCCCACTTCACCCAGGCTGGGATCTACTCTGCCAAATCAAGAAGCTTGAACTGCATCATTTGGCCAGTGTGGGCCCCTATGATGGAGCTGCATTCTATGAGTCTACATGGGCCATGTAATGGAGTTCAAATGCATGATTTGGCAGCGTAGATCCATCCCCAGTGAGTTTCCATGGTTGAGCAGGGATGTGAACCTTACTTTCCAATATTCAGACTACTACGTTGCACTGTCTTCTATGAATAGATTTCATTCTGTATCAACTTGTTGATATGTTTAGGAAATCTACTTATTTATTGTATTTAATTCCTTAATGTGTATAGCAGGCATGGGCAAACTTGGGCTCTCCCTCCAGATGTTTTGGACTTCAACTCCCACCATTCCTAACAGCCTCAGGCTTAAGCGGCTGAGGGGGAAAAGGAAAGGGCCCGAGGCTGTTAGGAATGGTGGGAGTTGAAGTCCAAAACATCTGGAGGGAGAGCCCAAGTTTGCCCATGCCTGGTATATAGCTACCCATCAATATCTGGAATATATGGGCAATATATCTAGCAAAAAGAAAAAGTAAACTTCTCTGTACTTGTGGGGCGAATCAATTCAAAACATTCTGTGGAGCCACTGAAGTCTAGCTGCCTCTTCCTTCCAGAGCTGCAGCCCTGTTTATTACTCTGTTAGACCAAAACAACCCAAGTCTGATGTCTGCAAGACTGACAGGTTTAAGCTTCTGTGGACCACAGTCCCATGCCGTAGTTCTTTCCCTGCTGATTGTGATCCTGGTGTTTACGCCTTGTGCTCTTTTCTCTCTTACTGTGTGAGGCTTTACAGCCAGCACTGTTTTCCGCCTTTGAAATGTCAAAGCCGTGGACCACGTTGGGTCTCCTGCCCCCAGCCTCTCACCAACGCAATCGGTCGCTTAACACCTGGTGAAACCTGGACTTAATTAATACTAATGGCAATCTGCTCTGTGCGCAGGGGGAAAGGTGGCAGCAGGGAGCGGGAGCCCATGGCTTGGCTTGGACAAACAAAATTTTAGAAAAGAGGTTGTCCCACGTGAACAACAACCCCAAGGCAGGCTTGAGGGGAAGAACAGGCAACAGTAATCAATGGGAATAATTATTTCTGTAAGGTGCAAAAATGGAAAAATCAATATCCACTTTTATAATATACGAAGATGAGCTGCTCAGGCACGCGCATGCTGGTTTGTTTATGATGAATTATAGAGTTATGAAATCAACACAGAATTCTGTGGCACCTTGAAGCCTCACGCATGTATTATAGTGCAAGCATTTGTGTCTTTAGTCCAAGAAAGAGGGCTAATTGTGATCTAATACACAATTGTGGTATATTTTAAAATTGTTATGCTGATGCTTTTATGTTAAGCTGTTTTGAGTCCCCTGTGGGGGGAATGATAATAATAATAATAATAATAATAATAATAATAATAATAATAATTAGTTAGCCTCTGTGCTAACAAAGAGTGCTACAGGAGTCTTTCTCCGTTTTGCTGAAATGGATTAATATTGCCACAAGCCTTTTGGAGGAATAAAGTCACAAAATGCTTTTTTAATTCCTTGGTTGATTTGGTACACCAAAATTAACAATTAAAATGGGATGTTTACCAAGCTCAGTGGAAGATGGGACATCATATTTGCTGAAACGAAGCCCATCAAAGAGTTTTAAAAGGGTGGGTGAGAAGCTAACTGTGTGCACAAGGTTGGTGATCAACAACAAGCATGCCCTAAATGCTCAACAACATACTTCTCCTCCTCCCCCCCCCCCCCCCCCCCCCCCCCCTCCTCCTCCTCCTCCTCCTCCTTTCCTACCCGTGTTTCCATATACCATATATAATTCTGCAATGGCCTCCTTGAAAAAGTTATTTTGAGGGAAAAACAAATCTATTTTCTGTTACCCCAGAGATTAAGACATGGAGCAATGTATTCAAATACAGGAAAAGATATTCCACCTAACATTAGGAAGAATGTCCTAAGAGTCAGAGCTGTTCAACAGTGGAATATGCTCCCTCAGTGTGATGGAGGGCCCATCCACACAATCCTATATCCCGGAATATCAAGGCAGAAAATCCCACAATATCTACTTTGAAGTGGATTATCTAAGTCCACACTGCCATATAACCCAGTTCAAAACAGATAATGTGGGATTTTATTCAGTGGCGTGGAAGGGGCAGGAGTCTCCTTGTCTGGAGGTTTTTATGCAGAAGTTTGATGGCTATCTATCGGGAGTGCTTTGATTGTGTTTCTGTATGGCAGAGGGTCAGGTTGGATGGCCCTTGTGATGTCTCCCAATTCTGTGTGAGGATGGAAAATACTGTTTTTCCTCCCTGACTTTTTGTTGTTGTTAACATTGAAATTGAAGGTGTTAAAAATACCCCCATTGAGCAAACTGCTGGCTGCCAGTGTAGACTGCTGTGCGGGAGCATATTGGTTTCCAGCTTGGTTGAGCACATTGTCAACATTACTCTAGTAAACCCGCTATCTCATGTTAAATTCTCCAAGGTGTCTGCACCAATACAGTGTAACCCCTTCTAATGTCAGTGGCAAGATAATGGCAGGACAGTGACTTGACCAAGTGTTATCTTTGAGTTATTCTTTCTGGAACTGATGTTGTCGCACAATTGCTTTGATTGGGATTTTCACTGCTGAGAGCAGATTGGCAGCCTCTTACTTGTTTTGTGTTACCCACAAGGCAGGAGATAATGAAAACCAAAAGACATCTGCAGCACTGGGTTGCTGTGAGTTTTCCAGGCTGTTTTGCCATGTTCCAGAAGCATTCTCTCCTGACATTTTGCCCACATCTATGGCAGGCATTCTCAGAAATTGTGAGGTTACATCTGCCGGCTTCCACAAAAATAGCCATGATTACCAACACTGGGTGGTGAGGTCAACCTCTGAAGATGCCTGCCATAGATGTGGGTGAAATGTCAGGAGAGAATGCTTCTGGAATATGGCCATACAGCCCGAAAAACCCACAGCAATCGAGTGATTCTGGCCATGAAAGCCTTCGACAATACAGAACTGCAGCAGTCACATCTTCCTCTTGGTTAGTGTATATATAGGAGAAGTAGAAATCCTTTTCTGTTGACTTCCAGAGTGAGATCTGACCTCTGATCCTTTAAACTAGCCCAGAACAACAGCACAAGAGTTTAGGTTACGCAGTCCTGCCCCCCCCCCCCCCCCCCCCCCCCCCCGGATTCTCTTGCTTGAGTGTGATGACATTTCAGTTTTGTACTGCAAATTCTGAGAAAAGCTGCATCGAGCAGACAGACTCCCTTTAATTAACCTCTTGCTTCTATAACGTGGAATGGAGCATCAACTCAACCTCCTTAAAATGCCTTGGAAAAATTTCCCTCCATGCCAATGTGGTCCCATCAAGTGGTGTCGCTTGGGCACATTATGAATATTTCTGTTCTATCTGTGTCTTCCAAAAAGTTGTCCTTGGAATGAAGTCAAGAAGCATGTACTTTAAAATCCAAATTCTTTGCAGGAAAAAAAGAAAAAAATGAACATGTAAATTGAATACATTGTGCAGATATATACCTACATATTTTGACATTGTGTAAAATTGAATTAAATTTTTATCTGATAGCTTTTGCTATTCTAAATATTTTGGGGTAGCAATACTTGACATAGAAACCACCATGTATAA